GGTTAACTTCTGCCTTCATTAAAATGTGATCATTCACACAATACTGCCATTCACACAATATTGCCATTCACACAGTATTGTGTGAATGATCACATTTTAGAGAGAGCAAACATTTTGCACTTGGGGATTTGGTGACATGAAGATACATGGTAGATTTAGTCATCAGTGATAGTTTTTGGAGAAACAAACAAACAAACAAACAAACCTCCATATCAGGGTTGATCAAAATGTTATTCCTCTCCACAACCCCTTCCATTTTAACCAAAACCTCTACAAGTAATCCTAAATAAAAGAGTAAATATTAGTAGCGTCACTGTTGAAACTAAGAATTTTCTCATGGGATATGCCCAGCTTCTCCCATGGTGTGAAACCTCCTGAGGGGAACAGGACTCTCCTGAGACGCCTAGAGAAAAGCCACTAAATACTTCCTGCTTAACGTGGGCCATGGGAATGGTGAAAAGGACCCTCCTTGTAGTAACTAATGTTTTTTTTAATTATTATTATTATTATTATTATTATTAAGGTATTATATGTGTACATATCTTATCAATTCCCCCACACACACTCCCATACATGCCCTCCCTCCCCAGAGTAGTAACTGTTTGATTTAACAATATAAACAGTGTGAGATAAACCTATCAAATATTTCCCGCCTTTGAAAACAAAAACGGTAATGTAAAGGAAGAGAAAAATTGCTATTTTAGTATTTGATGAAATGATATTATGATTTGATGAAATGAGATTAGGTATAACAAACCTACTGACCTACAAATCACAAGTAATTGTAAAGGGCATAAAGGCATTGACTAATTTGAAAATTAATATTATTAATAAATAAACTTATTCATCAGATGGTTGGGTAAATCTAAGCATTTCAACTGAAATTCAAGAGAGTAAGCCACGAATCCTCTGGACTTGAGTCTTACTTGTTTTAGGCAGTGACTCTGACGTTTACAGCATTAGAATCTAGGGCACTGATAGGTTTGTGTGAATAAAAAATGAGATGTTATTTCCTAATGTTTCCTTTGTTACTCCTTGGACTAGAGAATCTTCTTCAAGTAAAGAAAATGAATATAGTTGATATACTGTAAAAACACAAAAATAAAGTATTATATTTCTACATAACAAACCTTCTACATAATTTTAGAGAGGTTAAATACTAACTGTAAAAAAAGAAAAAAGTCCTACTATTTAAAAATTGTGGAAACCGAAAACCCTAAATAATATTTCTGATTATTTACTTTTAGGCAAAACTCATTAAATCTAATACCCAACTTCATAGAACTTCCATGTTCATGCAATGTACAAAATTACCATGCCCTAGCTGGTTTGGCTTAGTGGGTAGAGTGTCAGCCTGTGGACTGTATGGTCCAGTCAAGGGCATGTACCTCAGTTGTGGGCTCCTCAGGGTTTATGCAGGAGGCAACCAATTGATGTGTTTCTCTCACGTCAATATTTCTCTCTCTTCCACTATCTCTAACAATCAAAGGAAAAATGTCCTTGGGTAAAGATTAAAAAAAACAAAAACACACCACCTTAATTTTTATAAGTTGAGAGATAATTCCAAAACAAATATGTAAAAACAAGTTACTTTTTAAAAAAGGTACAAAACTTGCATTTTGACCTATTGTGAAATACTATGCTTTGAAATCAATATGTCAACTGTGATTTTCAGTATAAGCTGAACTGATATTTTTCATAGTTCATTATGGGTGTGATTTACATAAGGAGACTAGAAAACCTTCAAAAAAGAAATGAACATGATAAAAGCCTCAGTTTTTAAAATTACCGTTGAATTTTTTCAAACAGCAATTAATATATCAATTACATACAACAGAACATATCTACAAAATATTCTAAAGCACATGAAAGAGGTCCTATTTTTATTTCAAAGTAATGTATTCATGATAATACAGGTCAAGTTTAAAAATGAGATTGTTTCTACATTTAAAAAGAAACAGAGTCTATAACTGTAAACTATACACTTAGTCACAACGGCCATATAATTCAACAAAAACATATTACATACAGAAATTCTAAAACACATTGAAATTATTTTCACAATTGCCTATTTTGATTTGTTCCCCATTTATTTTTTAAAAAGTAATACAAGTGATAGCATTATAATTATTTAACAGGGTAGGAGTTAAGGGAAGACTAGATGATATAGGCATGCCAGACGAGTACGGCTTTGCTAGGAAGCTGTCTTTTAACACTCTCCAAGTCTGTTCCCCGATGATCAAAGGGGGAAGGGACTGAACAAAGGCAGTTTGGACGCATGCCCAGCGAGGTCTGGGAGGTCTGGGTGCTCAGCTGTCAGTCACACCTGGAAGACAGTCCGTGGCCAGAACAGGCATGTCCACAGCAAAGGTGTGAGACCTGAACAGTAACACTCCTAGACAAAGGGAGTTTCCTTGTGTGCCCCCCTTGCTTGCTGTCTGTGCCTGGCTCCTGTGCAGAGGGCCATTTCCCTGCACTCACCCACGTGGTCCACGGCCATGCGGCTCCCCATGGACTAACGGACTCTAACCAGCCTGATGCTCTGCCAGAACCAGCTGCAACACGGACTTTCTTGGCTCTAATAAGACCCCAGAGGCACCTTTCTCAGGACTGGGTGAAGGGACATGGGGACTTTGGAGCCCAAGGAATGTAACTCCCTGCAAGTAGAGCCTTTTCCCGCATCTCTTTCTTCTGTGGGGACTCCTGAAAACGCTCGTTGCAAAAGAACCCCAAGAACCCACTCCCACGAATGACAGGGGAGTCTGGCCCACTAATCTCCCTAGTAACACCAGGTGCTTTATGGAATGACTGCAAAGCACACAACAGAGGAAAAGCGCTATGGGTACAAATATTTAAAAAAAAAAAAAAAAAAAAAAAGATTCCATTAGTGTTCTCTGTTACAGAGAAACATTATTTTAAAAGTGCTAATGTTTTTACTGCAAATAGTAGCAGAATATAGTTAAGTATTAGACTAACCACTTGGTTGAGAAATTCTGCAGGATAAAAAGTGAAATATTTTAATAATGTTAGAACATTAGAAGGCTTTAATAGGTCAATACACAGATGACACACATCCTAATATGGTATATGCCTAAGGTAACTCTAGGTACATGTAAATATTCAGATTATGGTTACTATGACGTTCTTATATTTGACGTAACAACTAAAACACAAGGAAGAGAAAGTGAAAGGAGAGACAGATGTTTACTAGAATTCTATTTAAACCAGACACTTTAAAGTTATGAGTGTGTGTATGTGTGTAAACGAGGGAGTTAACTACTTTTTAAGCACTTTAGGTAAAGATATAAGTAGAAACTAGGTTTCATCTCAAAGAAAAAAACCATAGGTAGCACTGCCATGCTTTCGATTTAAAATTTCTCTTAAAAGACGAGGTTTGCTTAAAAGCTTCCTAAAAATATGCACTTGTTTTTACTCTTAATTTGATATTCAACCAGAAAAAATTGAAAATAACTATTAATCCAAAGTATATTTTCAAAATTTCTTCAAGAAATGACATTACATCAAACCAAACTACAGCTTCAGGAAGATCAAATGTAGGAGACCACATGGTGTGAACACTTCCTCCTCCTTTTATCTGCCCAACACAGTCTCCATCTCAATAGCAATATCCTCAGTCTTGTAATTGACTTATTTCGGTACACAGGGTTTCCTAACCTGCCTTGTTAGTTTAATTTTACATAAAATCGCAATACTGGAATTGGTCAGGTGGTGGATGTTGAGACTCGCACTGCATTGGAAGAGTGGCTGGCTGTTTATAACATACAACACTGCTTAAGAAACAAACCAAAGACAAACCAAGCCATGAGCCCCTTAGAAAACAACACAGCTCTCAAGTTAAAAGAAAAAAAAAGGGGCTTTTGAATAAATCAAAACAAAAATACTGGGAGTTTAATATTAAAAATCTCCTAATTTAAAATGCAATCTGTCAAAAGCATTTCACATTCTTTAGAAAATATGGTTTATAAATAAGGCCTTCTGTTTTTATCCAGAACTTTATCATAACTTTTACATTAATGTAAAAAATGTATATTTTAGTTAAAATTTATAGTGTTGTATTTTTTTTTAAGTTATAGGTTTTACAACTAAAGAAAATACATATTTAAGTTTTTTTTTTTCTTTAACTGTTTAAAAATACACAGTGCAGGCTATTCACCTAAACTTTGCCTTAAGTTCAAATAATTCATCCCAGCAGCAGATGAATCACTCATTCAAAGGGGCTTCCTCAAATGTCACATTCTCCTTGAACCTTTCTGAACATTCTAGCAGATATTAATTATTCTTTTCTGTGTATTGCATTCCCATATCCTTTTGAGTTTCTCTCTCTCATAATCCCCACAGTATGCCTTGTGGTTCATTTTTTATAGGTCTCTTTCCTCCACTAACCTCTCTTCTCTAGAAACTGAGTGGCAGCCATCTCTGCATCTCACAGATGACACACAGTAGGCACTCAATGTCTGCCGAGCAAATGCAGAAAGTGGAGAACAGAGCATAAATATGAACTTGGGGCGCCCAACCACTATATGGATTTGTTCCCCCAAGTTTACTTTAAAGTAAAAATGTCAACTGTTAACCATGAATAGATGCCCATCAAAATTAGTCTGCTTTGAATATCCATGGAGAAATAACACATTTGGAGCAAAAGCCTTCTGAAAAGGAATAAAAGAAACAGAAATATGTATGAAAAGAAGGAATTATTTGTTGTGTTTTTTTGTCTTGTCCTGTTTTGTTTATTTTTTTGGTCAAAATGTCCCTTGGTCATTGAGTCCTATGAGAGAGTTTAAAAGTAGTTAACATGTCACATATCAAACCATGTAGATCTGGTTAGAGGGGACAAAAGGCTTTCAGAGATGACTAACATGAGTCAACAGTGCAAATACCAGGTTGTTTGTTTCATGAAATCCTACCGTGTGCTTTTTTCCCTTCCTTAAAAGGAAACTTTAAGACACTCTCCAGTTTTAACACAAACGGAAGATAAATATTTACGAAGGAAAACAAATGCCACAGCATTCCATGCAGATCTCCAAACAGTCCGACGACTCGCAGCAGGCGTCCATGATGCCGCAGTCCATGTCGCAGGGGCAGTGGCAGTCGTCGCCCACGTCGTCCCCGCAGCAGCAGCAGCAGGCTTCCGAGGTGCAGACGCCGCAGGAGGCCTGCCCCAGGACGATGTTGCAGAGGGTCAGGAACTCGCAGAACAAGCAGGCCAGGATGCAGTGCACGCAGCAGTCTTCGTTTCCCACGGGGAGGAGACCGCAGAGTGGGGAAAAGGAGGGACACAGAATACATAAATCCTCAGTAGGCTGAATAATAACTTGGCCAAAATAAGTAACCCAGGACCCAATGGCAGGCTTTCCTGGAAGTCTTTTGTAGGCTGAAATCTCAAAAATAAACTTAAGTTAAATTCTACATGAAAGATCTTTAGAACTAATACTCCATATGAGGAGGTGGGGTGGGGATTGTAGCCGTCTATACATGCACGAGTGGATGTGGGTGAGATTATTCCTGTCACACACTATGCAACCAACCTTGGTACTAGGTTCCTCTTTTTGTATATCCATCTTCCCTATATCCAACTGCTCTCTGTCACATAGGCTAAAATGATTCTAGGACATTGAAGTTTTATCAGAAAAAAAAAAAAAATCCTTCAACTGTTCCACTCACCTGCTCCAAAAATTGAGCGAAAAAAGACATATTCAGTATATTACTGAAGAATTGAATCAATAGTCAAATTGGAATCTATTGAACTGGGATCAGCATGCTTTACTTGCCAATAAAACTGACTCCATTTCATGGTATCAAATATTTTTAGTTTCCCAAGAACTAACGAAAAACTGAGACTTCTGTTTAGGTGCAACCATTGTTCCTGGAATCCAAGTTCTGCCTATTTTTTTTTAATTTCTCTACTGATTAAGGTATGACATATGTGTCCTTATTCCCCCAATTAATCACCCCCCCCCCCGACTCATGCCCTCACCCTCCTATTTCTAAGGAAGGATTTGTCCCTTAACAAATGTGAATGAGGACAGTGACACGGCTTTCCCACTCCAGTGTGAGTTTGCATTTCCATTATTTCCTGAGACATCTCTAATAATCCCCCTTTAAAACCATATCTAGCAAACTTCTCGAACTGATATAAAAAGGCAAGAAATCAAAGAGATCATAATCTAGAGATTTAATGCCCCATATTTTAAACTTCTTTCCTTTAGAATGGTGATTTTCAAGTTTTTCATGCCATAGCTTACATAAACTAATTACTCAATTCTTGCTGCACACCAGCAAATATATTTTTTTGCTGATCTGATAAAAAAAATAAGTATGATTTTGATTTGTTTTTTATTCATTCATACTGGACAGCTATTGTTGTGTTGGTTGTCTTTTTTTTTTTTCTTTTATAATCTAAAGGGGGGGGGGGGATCAGTGCCCCTGCATGTTTTAAAAATTCAACAGTTAAAAACCACTGCTTTAGAATTTTGTCGCAAAAGAGCAGTTGAAGAAATTTTCTATTTCTGGAGGACTTTAACATGCATCACAAAGTTATTTAAGACCAATGTTATAACACCTTTTTCCACCTTCTGAAATGCTTGTGAATTTTTACCAGGACTATTTCTGGGGGTCCGTGTTGTTGTTGGTTGGTGTTGTGTTTCGCCTTTTCTGTATTTTACACAATGCGAGCTTGAGGAGGGCACTCTGCTGGCAGTGGCGACAGCAGCAGCAATGCGGAGCCGCCCCACCCCATCCCAGTCACACCCACTGCGTTTCAGTCTTGGCGTGAACACTGAGTGCCTCTGAGGAGTGTCAGGAAACTGCGAGATCATCCCATAATATGCTCCCCAACTCCTTGAATGTGCCTGATTCTCTATAGTCTCTAACTTCATAGAGTCTCTAACTTTGTAAAAGTGGGGAATGTGCAAACACAAAGCCATGTTCTAAATGCCAGATAGCAGACTAGGGAGGGTCTGAAAAGAATTCAAAAGAGAAACTCCAGAGCTGTTTGTAGAATTTAAGGCTTCAAAGAACTGCAGCAATCTTTCCTTTCATTCCTGGGCCCACTCTGCAGTACAATGGTCTGTAGAACAACTGGAAAAAGATCACAGAGTTGTAAGGGTCTGCAGGTTTCTCTCCATCTTCCCTGATGTTTTAGTAGGGGCTGATCATAGAAGGAGAACATGGAAAGCATCCACATTCATAACCTTGGAAAGTACTGGGTTTCTAGAGCATGTCTGTGGTTTATCTCTTTATAAACTTTTATCCTAATATCTCACTTATATATGTCTCTGTACCGTCAAGCTTTTATGGGAATTATATTATTATCATTTGTAAACTATTAAAAATGTCATAAAGAGCTAGCTTTATTATCAGTATTATTATTATGAAAATAGTGTTGAACTGGCAGTAAGCTACACTTCTGATCTTAACTTTCTTTTCCTCTGCTGAATGCTGTATTTCGAGACTGAAAGAGGGAGGCTACAAAAGCTCACTGACGCTGAAGAACCTTTAAGTGAGTAATTTTAAAACGACACCATAAAATTCCTATGAGTAGCATTTTTGTACAAAAGTATGTGTTTCAGATTTACCCTTGTTGATTAATGTAGCTTTAGTCCACCTATTCTCCAGGTGTATAGCATTCCATTGATTTAATGCACCATGGTTTATTTATCCATCATGCTATTTATGAATATTTGGTCATTTCCAGTGTTTTGGTATTCTAAACATGGCTGTTTTAAACAGTTCTGTGCAAGACTCTTAGAGCACGAATGCTAAGTAAGTAGCAGAATAATGGCTAGGTCACAGGATGTGCATATGTTTAATCTTATTAGATAATTCCAAATTTGTTTCCAAATGACTGCTCCAAAATTTAACCCCACCAATCAAGTATGAAAATGCTCAGGGGTGCATATCCTCACCAATCTTTGACATTGTCATAATTTCATACATGCCAATTAGTTAAGTGTCCCACTGAGGTTTTACTTACTTACTACTAAGTTTGGACACTTTTTCATGTTTCTGTGCCATTCATGTTTCCTCTTCTTTGAAATGGCTGTTCAGCGTTCATGCTTTCCACTCACTTTTCTATTGATTTGCCTCTTTTTTTTTTCCTTATTGATTTGTAAAGTTTTAAATATTCAAGATTTCAGGCCTTTGTCAAATATGATTGTCTTTTCTCAGTATGTGGATTTTTCAGTTAGAATGAAAAGAGACAGATGAATTAATTTTTAGAGCCTGAGAAATTGAAGTTATCAATAGGAATCCAAATTGTCTTATAATTAGCTGGAGGTATGGGGTTGGATGGCTGAGGAAGTGAAGTGGCGGATGGATAAGTCTGGCAAATCAGCGAGAAGAAGAGGAGGCATTCGTAAGATCTGGTAGCCTAAAGAAATAAAAAAGTTTTTGTGTCTGATTCTAACCAAGGGAGTCAGGCCAGCCCATATACAGAAAGGGAGAAGACACCAGTAAGGAATCAGGAGGAACAGACGGAGTGTCATTGGTGTGAAATCAACAATCTCAGGTGAAGAGGGGTAGAACTGGCATTCCAAACTAAACAACTCATTCATTCATAGGCTATATTCCTTTGAAAATTAAAATACCTTCCAGACTGTAGATAATAATAACAGTTGTCACACAGAAATCGTAAGTCCTAAGCCAAGAATAAGACCTCTCCAAACTCCTACATTTAGCCAACAAGATCTACCAGTTAATTAAGTCTGTTCTTGTCTTTGTATTTTTAGTAAACAAAGAAAAATTTTTAAATGTGCTTAGCTCTAAATAGGTCAAATACACCTTTTCTAGCCTGTCTCCTATAACTCATGATTTCTATAACTAATAGGTATGACTGATGGTTTTACATACATGGGAAGCCTAGCATTAATGAAGAAAAAGTATTTATTGGCTGTTGTCAGAATTAAAATAGGTGTTATCTTGGGACAGTGATGTTTTCATCACTCATTCATTAAAAAAACACAAAACTATTTAAGAAACTTACTTTATACTGAACTCTGTTTTAAGGTCTTTATAGATATTAACTTATTCAACTCTAATAATATTCCTAAGAAGCAGTTATCCCCATTTTAGCAACACCAAGAAAGATTTATGGGAAATTTAGGAAATTCATTTAAGTCATGGAGGCAATAATTAGCAGCAGCCACTTGGAGGGAGGGATCACTCCTAATACTCACTTACTCTTCCTGGGGGACATCAGTTTTAAATCCAGAACGTTCTGTTGATTTGTCTTGCTGATTTGTTTTTGGCCTTGAGTCAAGTCCCTTTCCTTTCTAAAGCTGATTCTGAGTTTCAGTTTTAATGAAGAGTTGCTAGTAAATGTTAACCTTCAACAAGTACGTGTAAAGTTGATGAACTGCTGCCAGTCACATTGTCAAAACAGACATAAGAAAGCGATGTCACAATCAAAAGAAAGAACTCTAATTAAAATATAAAAATTAAGGCCTATAATTATATGAACAAGAACAATGTTGCAATTACATAGGAACTCTAGTGGCCTAAGTAGACTGATAAAATGACAGAGGTCTCAAAATAATAAGCTCTTTATGTAAATATTAAAACTTACAAAAAATAGACAGCTTATCTAAACATGCCTCCTATATAATTTCCTGGAAAAGCACTTTGGGCTACTCTGAAAAACCAAATCTATTAACAGGCCCCTAAAAAAACCCACAAACCAAAATGCATTCTAGAGATTAAAGTGATATGAAACAAGGTGAATTTACAGAGACATCTACCAAAAACTTCTATTTCCTGTACTTTATAAGAAGAAAAATACCTCAATATAACAACAACAACAAAATGAATCTCTAATATCAAATCAATAATCTGACTTTTCATTCCTTGCCAGAAACATCTTTCTTTTCACCTGTGTTCTAGAAAGAGTAGTTTATTTGTGACTTGGGGCAATAAAAGTTAGATAAACTAAGAAAAAAGAATTGTTACAGTTTCTACCACCACCATCCTCACCCCCACCCCCAGCAGAATCAAAAATCATAAAAGGCATAAAGATGATGGTTTTATGTGAAGCAAAGAGAGGATTTTAAGAATTATTAAACTAAGCCTTACATAGAGAAACAAACTGTAAAAAAGACGATTCCTCTGCATCCATGAAGTTCAATGTTTGAAAGAATTCTTGGCCCCATTATTGAAGCTTTTCGTTTTCATGGTTTCATTCAGTCATATTTGCAGTTTTTGCCAAAAGTGTTTACTCTCTGAGAAACCAACTGA